CACCCTCATTTCCTAATGAATGACTCCGAACCCTCAAATGATCCTGAGTTGTCACTGGGAAGAACCATACTTGAGCCCCAAGACGCTACAGAGATTAGGAAATGGAGAACATCTCTTATTCTTGGTCCTGGTTTTAAATCATTCTCACTTGATTTCGACCCTAGCCTGATATCCTCAGCCCAGATGGATTATCTCCTGGCCAGGCTCTTGGAGCTCGAAGCCATACCCCTGAGAGGGGTTAGGGCATTCGTCTCTAACTGGGCCTCGGCCATGGTATCCAATGACGCGGGGGTTGAAGGCAGCGGGAGTCCAGCGGCTGCTCAGGCACCCTTGGACTTCGCAAGGGCGATCTTAAGCATGGTGCTTCATGCAGGGCTGGTACATGGGATGCCCATTCGGCCTCTGCTTTGGTTAGCGAGTGCTCTCGCGGTCATATCTACTAAGAGGAAGTACCGGTTGGTGCGTAGCATCGAGCTGGGCAACGATCGCGACTACTTCGACGCCCTACTCGAAGCCCTCATTGCTGACACTGCTATGGGGGGCGCAGGCTCGGCCACAAATCGTTCACCTTCCATCGCAGGAGCAGTAAGTCCCACTGGCGATGGAGAACCATCGTCCACGGCTTCGCACTCCCGAAGGCAGGCTCCTCTGAACGTGTTCAAACTCCCACTTGAATATACAGAATTCGAAGGTCCGACGTCGGCCACACCCTACTCTGCCTTCAAGGGTGGTGTGCAGACGTCAATCAGGTTCTATGGTATCGATAACGAGCGAGACTGCATGCTCTTCCTCTTCCGGCACATCGGGAAGAGCTTGAGGTCCGAACTTATCACACATCTTGGGACAGCCCAACCGGCTCCGTCTGCTGTGTGGGGGTACCTCGACTCTCGGTTTCTCGAAACTGATACATCGGAGAAGGCCAGCGAACGCTGGGAGAGTCTCAAACAGAATACTGGCGAGAAGTTGACGATATATGCCCGCATTAAGAGTGATGGTGCTCTCTCTCGTGTGTCCGGCGTCACCT